CCTCTGTAAGGTAACCTTGTAACCTTGGGAGTTTTGAATGGCACCTACAATTAAAATTCATTATTATTATTATTTTATTATTATCATTATTATCATTATTATTACTATTCGCTGATAAAAAGTTATAAAATATTTTGTGGTGCCCTCTAGATGTACAGCACCCTTAACCTTTGCCTATACTGCCTATGCCACTGGCCAGCCCTGGTTTGATGGGTGTAAAGTTTATAAATCATTCTTAGGTTTTTTTTCCTTACTTTGCTTCCAAGAAAACAAACATTCTTGTAATATTTGAAAGTGGTCTGGTTCAATGACAGTTGCAGCTAAAGGATTTCTTGGAATTTTGGCTGCTTAAAACTAATTTTTTTGTGTACTTTTAGTAACTGACCATGCCTACATATTGTGCACTGTGCACTTACACAATCAGGAAGTGAACAGGTGGAGGACAACATAATATTTCAAACTGATGAACATTAACACAATAAATCAAAAAAGAAGTCTACCTCCTTAGAAGTAAAATGTAAAGAGAGGGTTATATAATGCAGCAGATGTGCAGAAATGTGTTTAAGGGTTGATTATGTAACAGAGCGCACACCTACCTGTACATTTTTAATACACGCTGTTACATTTTGATCACGTAGTTATGTTTTAGAAGTACTGTACATTCAGAGCAACTTACATAAAACATGTTTATGTTTCTTGTGAAGTTATGGATTAACAACCTCTTTTTAAATAATTTTTTAAAAATCGTTGATTAAAAAAATGCCTTTTTTTAACTGTTATCTGCATCTGTTCCAGGGTCCTCCTGGTCCGCATGGAAAACCAGGACAACCTGGACCACCAGGGCCAAAGGTGGGTGGTATTTTCTAACTGAAAAGACATGGACATGTCTCTGAGTGCATCCGAAATGTCTGTGTCAGGAAAAAAAAAGTTTTTAAAAATGTTCTCACACACAACTGTGGGCGGTGTTTCCATCACGATGGAAAATGTGCTTTACTCAGACGTGCGCTAACATGAACGTGCCTCTCATCCCGTCCACTACATGCCCACATCCATTCATCAACAGTCAGCCTGAAATACATCATAAAAAGGAAGAAACTACTGACCAAGAGCTGKTCTTTTTATTTTTATTTTTTATTTTTTGTAAAAAGGAAAAGCACGGCAATGATTTTTTTTTCTGACAGAAGTGGAGGGACTGACTGTCCAGGAAATCTTTGCGGACTTTGAGGATTACACAAGAGTCTGTACATGGTTGATGTCAGCAGCAGACTTTTAAAACGGTGATCAGTGGTTTCCTCTGGCCCAGAGATTCTTAACCCATGGGCCGCAGCCTAATTGTGGGCCGAGTGCCACCTTGAGGGCCTCAAATGAACAACAGTTTTTAACTTTGGGCCGCAGAGGGCCATGGGACCGCATTGATTTTGAATAAGGTGTAATACATTTTCTCACCACTAGTAGCGGTAGTGCGCCACTCAGATGTTTAACAACTTTTTAAATACTGTATGTAGAAGAAGAATCTTAGATACCTGCCAAAAATGGAAACGTACTTTAAATGAAAAGAAGAAGGTAAAAATTAAGGTAACTCGTCAAAAAAGGCCAAAGTTTGTCACTAATATGAAGTGCAGCTTCTGGTTCTACCATGCAATATTTTAAAGTTCAAAACATTATCAAATACAGTTGCAGATACAGCTATATTTTAATTTGCACTTTATCAAACTATTTTTTGTAGTTTATTTTTAAATATTTGAATGTATTTTAAAGAAACTTTAAACCTGTCAAAAAGCTGTTGTTACTGTTATT